TCTACCTTCATCATCAATCCAGCCACCACTCACTGCCCCACTGCTATCGTAGAGCTTGTAATTTATTCACCTGCTTCTGTGGTGGCCCTATATTCTATTATCAACACGGTGACCCTTTACAAACATACATCAATGATGTCACTCCTCTGCTCCAAATTGTTTAATGGCTCCCCATTTCCCTCTGGGTAAAAGCTGAAGTTCCTACCGTGACCTAGAGGACTCCCTGTGATTTGACTTCCGTTCCACCTTTCAAATCACACATCACGCTGTCTTCCCCTCATTCATTTCTCTCCAACTACATTGGCTCCTCAGCAACACAGGCGTGTCTACATTTGCTGCTCCCTCTGTGTGGAATGCTCTTCCCAGGCATCAGTGTGGTTCATTCCCTCACCCCTTCTCAAGTCTTTGCTCAAATGTCCCCTTTTAAATTAGGTCTAATCTAAGGATGATATTTACAAGTGCAACCCCCTTTCCTTCAATTCTCTCCTTGGCATGTCTGCTCCTCCTTACTCTTCGTTTTTCTTACCCACTTGTATAGCATATACAAATATATTTTATAATTTATGTATTGTATTTTTATGTCTATCTGTCTTCTCAGATAGACATAAAGCTCATCAAGGACAAGTTGGTGTTCTTGTTTGCTTGGATTTATCCCAAGTACTGAAGATATAAGAAAAGGGAAATCAATGTATGGAATGTAAGTAAAGAAAGTAGAGAAGATAAAGGCTAGAGGGAGGCAAATAAATGAGACAAAATGAGTTGGATGTAATGGGGAGGACATACCTTCCTGCTTTTTACAAGATTATATGATAGCTATTATCACTTGTAGCTCCAGCATTTTATGAACTTTAAAACTTAATGGTGATTAGTAATTATTGCTATATTTTGATATATCAAGTAATATTAAGAGAAGGGCATTAGATTTTTATTTCTCAAAAACATCAAGTGTCAAGAGAGGTTGAGAACCCTCACATGAACCTACTTCCTCACTTTAGAGATGAACACAATTGAGGACCAAGAATGCTGAGGAAGCCAAGACCCGACTACTTGTCTAGAGGCCCTTCCCACATTCTCTGTACCTATAATTAATGACCAAGCATCTGAAATGCACTGTGGCTGTCTTTACCTGCAGCTGGGCAGACCGTAGTCCAACCTGGAATGGCAGTAGCATGTGATCTGGTGGTTCTCAGACTCGATCATGCAGGAGAATCCCCTGAAGGGCTTTGCTGAGCTACAAGTTGCTATGATGCTCACGCCAGAGTTCCCCATCCCATAGTTCTGGAATAGGGCCCACGGATTTACATTTCTGACAAGTTTTTAGGTGACGCTGTTGCTTCTGGTTCAGGGACCACACTTTGAGAACTATTAAAACCCAGTCATCTGTTTTCTTCATCTACTTTATGAAATGCCCCCATCCTCTTATCCTAAGCTGGCTTTCTCCTTTTCTTTATTATTACTCCAGTGTGCGTGTGTGTGTGTGTGTCTTTTAAACTAAATTTGGCTGCCCCACAAGTACTTCTCTGCCATCTTTCTCCCAAGAGACTAAATTTTATATTAGCCTAAGTGCAATGTTAAGATGGACATTCTGTTGTGCTATAGCCTCCTCACATTAGAGACCTAAAGCCGGGTAGTTAAAGATGATATATTATCTAGAATAACTGAATAACTACTAATGTTAAGATGGAGGCTATAGCCTCCTCACATTAGAGACTTAAAGCCGAGTAGTTAAAGGTGATATATTATCTAGAATAACTGAATAACTACTATGCCACTACAACTTTTATTGAAAGTTTATAATATGAATATATTTTTTGCACTGTCTGCATATTATAATTGATTAAGGGGAAAATCCAAGGTGACCTACCAATAAGCAAAATTACTTTTATTGTATAGTTCATCTAAATAATATATCTAGCTTCTAAATACAGACTTACTGATTTATTTTAGGATGAATTGATGCTTTTTCTCTGTCTCTTCTTCTTAATATTGTGTTGTCTGGGTGCCTTAAGTAGGATTATTCTAGCAGTTCTCACATCTGACTTTAGGAGAATCTCTTCATAAGGTTGCTTATATAGGAACATTACAGCTGTTTACCATGAATGATGAATTATGGACTGAAAGGAGCTTATATGAGAAGGGATGGTGAACCAAGAATAGTGTTAAGTTCCAGAGGGCAGTTTCTGTTTATTGCATTTGTAATGTTAGCATTTTCTTCATTTTGATTGTATTTTCTAACTTTGTTTTTTGATTCCTACTGGCATGATTTATTGTAGAAGGTGATTAAAGTATTTTGTTGGGTGCAAGAAAAATTAGAAATGCAGTGGATAGTATTTTCATTGACTAGCTGCTGGTAATGTGTCAGGTGAATCAATCATAAAATGTGATTGAAAATAAAGAAAAAGATCTGTTCTATTTCAGGGTTCTATATTAAAACATTGTCCCTCTCTTTCTACAACTTACAGTAATGTTTATGTAGATATGAAATCCATTTCAAATAAACTGTGGAAGTACAATCGCTATCGCTACATCATGACCTACCACGAGAAGCCATGGCTGCCCCCACCGTTCATCCTGCTGAGCCATGTTGGCCTCTTCCTTCGCCGCCTTTGCCATCACCAAGCTCCCAGTGACCAAGAAGAGGGCGATGTTGGGTTAAGTAAGTTTTCATTGGTGAGACAGGAGGAAGAGAGTAGGGAGTGGAGAGCCAAGGTGTAGGCACACCAGAGCATTGCCGGTGAAATTCAGGGCACAGGATGGAAGGCTCTGGGGAGTCAGTGACATCTGAGTGTCAGCTGAAGAGCTGGGTCTAGGCTAGGGGAAACACACTGTCGTTGTGTGATCATAGTGCCTTTTGATTAACTGATACTTTGAAAGAATGGAATAGGTAGGAACAGATTCTGTTTGAATGTGTAAAGGCTTTATGTTTTTACACAGGTGTTATTTATGGAATACCTGTGTTTTCTCTGCTGACCTGGAAATTCATGGTCTAAGGCAGTGGTCGGCAAACTCATTAGTCAACAGAGCCAGATATCAACAGTACTTCTTCAAAATAGACTCGCCCAGGCCGAAAACCGACTTCTACGCATGGGCCACAAAGTTTCAATCGCGCTGTACGCGTGCCTGCACGTGATATTTTGTGGAAGAGCCACACTCAAGGGGCCAAAGAGCCACATGTGGCTCGTGAGCCGCAGTTTGCCGACCATGGATCTAAGGAAAATCGATAAACAAGACATTTTGTTTAACTTACTAACCAGTCATAGTTCTCTCGTTCTTCTGAGCATGGAGGTGCTTCTGAATAGATGTTTCACATCTCCAAGTACTACCACTCAGGATACAGAAGAATGGTCTCTCTCTCTCTCTCTCTCTCTCTCTCTCTCTCTCTCTCTCTTTACCCAAAGCTTAAGTCTACATATTTTGAGATTTCCCGAGTTCATTTTGCTTAACCATATCTTGGCTGCATGATATGGCTATCATACTAATTCTCACAAGAGAACATTCCTTATTGTGATTTTACAGATCGTCTGTAGTTCCTCTCAAGCAATCCCACAACTGATACCAGGTCCATTTCTAGATAATACTGTAGAGGAAATAGGTGGCATAAATCCACAATCCTTTATCACAAATTGCAAATCCAAAGTACCTCTGAAAATGGGAGGTCTTTTTTTCTTTGTAGGTTGTGGGAAGACTCATTTGGGTAAAAGTTGTTAGAAGACTAATGTGAACCCACTTATTCTCTTTACCCCATGTAGTGTGAATATTCATTGATTTTACTGCAGAAAGAGTCGTGTGTTTGATTGCAGGGACTGCTCTAACTAAGGGTTTTACTCATTTGTGGTATATATGCCCTTTTTTTTTTTATTTTCCTAAAACTAGAAACAATTCTAAATACTAAAACACACCTGGTTCCCGGAGTTTCAGAGAGGAGGTTGCTCATTTCAGTGAGTCCTTAGGGGGACAGGTGTAACTGCAAGGTTGACAGGGTCATATTCTTTTGTTCCTGGTTGTTGGTTATGTGAAGCATTTTTCCTCTCGAGTCACTTTGGAGACTTCTTTTTATTTTCCATTCCCCCACCAGAGATTCAATCTTTTTAAGGAAGTCAAAGACAATTGAAGTGAATTTAAAGGCTTATAATTATACTATAATTCTTAGGCTTTTAATAGAGCTCCATCCCAGTCATTGGCTGCAGAACTATCACAACCTAATAGATTGTGAACCACTTGAGAGATCCTGGGATTAAGTAGGATTTGATCAGATTTCCTAGCACCATACCTGGGTTCATCTGGGTCTGGGCTTATCGGATGATTCTGGTATAAAACTCAAGTAAATTTTCTGTTCACTCCAAGCTCTGGGAAAGTCCTGAATTTTGTGAGATTGCTTCCACTCCTCTGTATTGAGGACCAAGATATGTGCATATGGGGCAGCAGTGCCACCTGGCGGACAGTTCCAAGAACGCTCCACATGCCACCATTGGCACCGGTCACTGGAATTGCTCTGTGGATTGCTTGCTCTCAGGAATGCACAGGAGTTTCAAGTCATGACAGTTGTAAAGTTTCTTGTTCATAGGAGAGTCTTTAATGCAAACAGATATTGAGAGTTGGGGAGATAATGGATTTTTTTTTTTTTAGTTTTTGAATCTTCTACACCATGAAATCAGAAAACATTATGCACGTGGATATTGTTTTCTGTGTTTTTCAATTTGAAGTTCATATGTTTGTCTCTTATTATATGGGAAAATAATGGAACACTTTCACTTCTAATAAATTCTGGAGAACTCTGATGATTCTTTGTTTCCCTAGTTTAAGTGAAATGATTGAAGGAAGAGACCCTGCCACTTTTACCCCTTTTCAACACCATTTTTATATTTTCTAAGTACTGGAAACTTGCTCAAAAGATGTATTTTTTCTGGTTAGGTCAGAGTGACAGCCAAGTTTGTAGACTGAATGACTGTTGAAGTTTGATGTAGAGTTGCATCACCAAATGCTGTCTGTGTCTTTTGATGAGTTGAATTATAATTCTGTCAGGGAAGGGGACTACCCTCCATTGGTGATTGGCGGATAGTAAGGTATCTTTTTCCAATAGAATTTAGTAAATGCACACTCAGTCTAAGAAGGTCAAGCTTTCTTATACTTACCAGATTAGTTTCAGATAAAGGCTTTGTCTTCTAGCCTAGATTTTAACCTGTAGCTTATTTATTGTCCTTTTGAATGATAAAACAGTTGGCAGGGAAGAAAAGGACCATCCATTTGGGGGGAGTTAAAATTTATACATGGATTTTCCACTGAGCAGAAGTAAATTTTTGTTGATGTGTAAAAACATTCTAACCTACTAAAATATTGAAGAGGAAGTGTCTGTTTTTTATAAGTCATCTTCAGATTCCCATGCCTGTTAATAGGACAAATGGGAAAGACCCAGACATACGTTTCCAGCTGTTCCTATATCCTGTATCCCCATTAATACAAGGAATACAGTCTGACAAGGCAGCAAAGTTTTACCATACAAGCTACAGTTTATCAAATTACAGCACAAGTAGAAGAAAAGCCACTCACACATTGTATCAGATTCCTATTAAAGGTGAATCATGATTATTTTTGTGTAACATACTTATTTTCACAGAACTCTACCTGAGTAAGGAGGATCTGAAAAAACTTCACGATTTCGAAGAACAGTGTGTGGAAAAGTATTTCCATGAGAAGACGGAAGGTCTGAGTTGTAGTTGTGAGGAACGAATCCGAGTGACAGCAGAAAGGTAAAAGACGAGTGTATTTTCCATCCCCAAACTACCACCCAAACCTGATTCTTCTAGAATGTCTAAAAGGGTACAAAGATCTACTTTCGAAACGCAGAGGTTTGGATTCTCTAAATGTTCTCTAGTAACATATAATGTGTGTGTAATTAATGCATGTTTATTAAATCTAGTTACTGGACATGAATGGTGAATAAGAGACAAGAGTCCCTACCTCCATAGGACTTACATACTAGTGTGTGCCTGTGGAGGAGTAAGGGGGTGGAGGAGAAAAAAATAAAGAAAACACATAAAAGAAATATGTAATTTAATGTTCAGCAGTAAAAGAGCCATGAAGAAAGTTACAGTACTATTATAAAGGAACTAGAGGCCCAGTGTGTGAAATCGCGTGAGACCCCAGACCCACCGCACCGCTGTGGGGGTGGGACCCCGGGTGTCTGCCGTGCCACCACCCGCCTCATGTGGCGGGACCCCAGACCCACTGCGCTGGCGAGACCCATCAATGCACCTTCTAGTGACCAGTTGTTTGGTCGTTATGGCGTTATGGCATTATGGTGTTATGGCCACGGGCTTTTTATATAGAGAGATGGAAAACGATGGTGGCAAGGGGTCTGTCAGAGTTGAGGGGTGGGTTGGGCAGTTTTGGGCAGCCTGGTGCAGGCAGGTCGCTCTGAGGTGGGTGAGGGGAGAGACTGAGGGCAGTGGGCCGAGCAGAGACACCTGGTGGCATGGTGCACCTAGTCGAAGGAGCAGCAAATGCAGGCGCCTGAGGCAGCAGCAAGGGTGTCTGGGGGCTGCAGGGAGGTCCAGAGGAGGTCCAGTGTACCATGCTGGTTGCATGGAGAGTCATGAGGATCTCAGGGCGCCTGACCAGCAGTTAGCTGTGCAGTGGAATTGAGAAGTGGAGACAGCAATTACAGCTTTTGTGGAAAGGTGTACTGTGAAAGGAAGCAAGGAGGGATTTGGGGACACAGTAAAGTTCTTTTCTTTTGTTTCACGTGATAACAGAAGTGTGGATGGTCTTGGAAACGATCCACCAGCAAGAAGCTGCAGGAGGAGGGAGGAGGTGATTGGCTCACATGGAATCCTAGAGAAGGGGTTTCATGGAGAAGCACGCCAGGAAAGAACGTGGCCAGTGTGAAGGGGATGCATGAGTTAGGAACACGGATCTCACAGTAAAGCGACCAGCTGAGAGCGCCTGTGGGCATGTGTGCTTTTGGGGGGACAGTGCAGGGAGTCCATTCAGAGGTTTGAGGAGAGAGGAGATGTGTTGCAAGAGTGAACACATTCAGAAACTAGTAGGATACAAACTATTGCGGATGTACTGCTAATTGTGGGTACCCAGCATTGGGTTAAAATAGGGAGGATGGCATGCATTGGCATGCATTTTAAAAAAATATGTTTTTATTGATTTCTGAGAGAGGAAGGGAGAGAGGGAGAGAGGAATAGAAACATCAGTGATGAGAGAGAATCATTAATCAGCTGCTCCTGCACACCCCCTAGTGGGGATCGAGACAGCAACCAGAGCATGTGCCCTGATCAGGAATTGAATCGTGACTTCCTGGTTCATAGGTCAACACTCAACCACTGAACAACACTGGCTATAACTGCTCTTGTAACTGGAAGCAAATCAACAGAAGCTAAATGTGTTTCTTCATTGCTTCATTGTGTGTGTGTGTGTGTGTGTGTGTGTGAATCCTTACCTGAGGATATTTTTTTCATTGGTTTTGTGGAGAGAGTAGAAGGGAGGGAGCAAGGGGGGAATAAGAGAGAGAGAGAGAGAGAGAGAGAGAGAAACATCAATGTGATTGGTTGCTTCCCGCATGCACTACAACCAGGGATCCAACCATAACCTTTCGGTGTATGGGATGACATTCCAACCAACTGAGCCACCTGTCCAGGGCTCCTGATTTTTTTTTTCTTGGGATCAAGTAGAGAAGGATTAGAAGGTAGATGGATATGTAGCTTCTGGAAAGTATTCTAGATGCTTTCAAGGATTTTACAATGTAATTAGGAAGCTCTAATTTAACTTCAACACATAATCAATGTTCCCTCTTGATAGTGCTATTTTACCAGCCCTGCTTTTACACGATTATTTTTGTTGAGGTCATTTCGGGGAGCTCAAAAATGAGGTGGGGGAGGGAGGGAGGGAAGAATACTTTTCTCAGGTAGCTGAACAGTCATGTGCAGAGGGAGGGCAAGGAGATCAGGAGGCTATCTGCTTTTTTGCCCACCTTGAGAGCAAAGATCAGCCCTGTCCTTACAGAATGAAGTGAGCTGCGAAAGTGGAAAAGGAGAACATATTAGGTCTGTTTTATGTCTTACTTGCTCTATGTGGAATGCTGGCTGCCTTTTGACGTAGTGGTAGAAGGCAGCATTTCCCTCTCTGCGCTGTGGAGTAAGATGTTCATTAGGTATTTCTGCATAGGAAGCACGTTTGGTCCATTGTATTTGGGAAATGCTACATTTTTTAGAAAGTTCACACACTAACATAAAGTGCGTTGTGACTCAGTAGAGTTATAGGTTGAGCAGGTCTGTCATTATTTGGCTGTGAAGCTGTACTGAGGAACATCTGTGACCAAACGCCTCCCAGCATGGGGAACATCGGTGTAATTCACTCAGCACTTCATGGGACTCCAGGAGCCCCCCGAGAACTTGGCCTGGATCCCAGCTGAGTCGCTGAGCGGTGCAGGGGCACAGTGGTTCATGCCACTGAATGCGGATTTGGGCTCTGCCACCGATCACGTGACTGGCCATGTGACCTGTCCTCTTTTCATGAAAGGGATAATAGTAATGACTACCTTATAGGGCTGGTATGTGGATTAAAAAAGAGAATAGTGTAGAGCCTTTGGAAAATGCCTGGCACATAGTGACCACTCACTGAAGATTACAATTGTCATGATGACTATAATTATACCTATTATAATATCATTTTAAAATATTTTGTCCAAAGGCCCACCGTAAAACAAGAACCCATCCTTAGTCTCCCCTCCATCCTCAAACCTTGCACAGGGGAAACGAAAATGATAAGAATGTGCTTCATGTGTCAGAATGACTGAAAGGATAGATTAAATTAATGTAGCTCGCAGTTGAGGAATATAATTAAAATATGTTTCATAGGACATAATGCTTTAGAAAATAAGTGCCTGTAAAAGCCAGAGGACCCGATTTGAGGGTGACCAGGTTATTTGTCTAACAGGTCTGTATTGTAGCACGTTACCTGTTGCTGTGAATGGTTGCTGGTTTCTATTGTGTCCATGCGATGTGGCTGCTGCTAATGGCACTTAATGAGTCTCCATTACTGCTGTTCAGACTGTACTGGTTTTGAATTAGATGAAACAGTGCACTGGATGGGAAGCTCTAATTAAGCATATTTGGAGGGGAATATACATATATTTTGTGCTCTTACCCTCATCAGCGTTGCCAATTCTAGTTTTGCAGGTTCCAGAAGGTCAGGAAGCATTTATTAAGCCTCTATTGAGGTGTAGAAGTTGAATTCTATGGCAGACACAAGAAAGAGAAGGTGCCACCCACATAGACGATAACAAAAATGGAAAATGCCACCCTCGTTATTATTTATTTCTTATGTGCAAAGCTGCCAGAGAGAAGAAATGGGAGATTGCTCAACCATGGGACTTGAGGGGCTCTTGAGAGGGGATGTGTAATACTGCTTTGGGAAGTACTTGATACAGCTCTTCACGGACTAATCACAGCTTCTCCCGGTCTCCAGATAAGACTGGGGACCAGTTTGTGTTTCTGCATAGGGTCATATCAGCCGCGACACTGTTGGTTGGATTCCCTGTCTTACTGTTTTTACTTTATTCCTGTTTCTCAAAGATTTTCATGATTGAGAAATTGGAAAGCTTACTCCCTCCTCCAAATAAAATAATAAAATCGGGGTGGGTGTGAGGAGAAAGAACAATGTCATTAAGCCAGAGTCCACTGTGAAAATATTGGTCTCTTTCCATTTCGCCTTCTCTATGCTTTTAGTTTAAACTATGCGTTTGTATTTTGTTCCCCGCTTCAAGCTTAGACATCAAAAACATTTCTTGAATTGGTTAACCAGTCTTTGTAAACGTATTTTAACTTTTATTTTCTCTACTTACAAAGTTTTTCATACCACATTTAAAAGTATATACTGCATGCCCTAACCGGTTTGGCTCAGCGGATAGAGCGTCGGCCTGCGGACTCAAGGGTCTCAGATTCGATTCCGGGCAAGGGCATGTACCTTGGTTGCGGGCACATCCCCAGCGGGGAGTGTGCAGGAGGCAGCTGATTGATGTTTCTCTCTCATCCATGTTTCTAATTCTCTATCTCTCTCCCTTCCTCTCTGTAAAAAAATCAATAAAAGTATATACTGCAGAACATAACTAACATCTATATCCTCACCCCTACTGTTAGAAATAGCCCAAAGAAATTATCAACAACATAATTTTGAATTTTAATGGCTTCAGAATATTTTATCTCACAATGTAAAGAATATCTGTGTACTTTAGCATAGTGAAATCCTTTACATATGTTGCCTAATTGAATGCTCCAATTTTGCATCCTTGTCTGCTTAACTAATATAGTTGACTATTTTACTATTTTTCCTTATTTTTTATCTTTTGTGAATTGTCTGTTCATGTTCTTTGGAGTCCTTATAAATTTTTTTCTGCAACAATTTGTAAAAGTTTTGATTTATTAAGGAATACAGACACCTCATTATATTTGTTAGAATAATTTCTAATTTATTTTTTGTTTTAAAATTTTATGTTTTTATGTCTATGAGTTGTTTATGTAACCAAATATGATACATTTTATAATTTATGGCTTAGACAACCACATTAGCTACCCAAGGTTGCCATAACAAAGTACCCAAAACCGGGGGTCTCACAAGAACAGAAATTTATTGTCTCACAGTTGTGGAGGTTGGAAGTCCAAAATCAAGATGTCGGCAGGGCCATGCTTTTCCGACGGCTCCAGGGAGAGTCCTTCCTTACCTCCTCTAGCTGCTGGTTTGCTGGGAACCCTTGGTGTCCTTGGTTTGGTTTTGAGATGGATCATTCCAGTCACAGGGCAGTCTTCCCCCTGGGTATCTTTACATCATCTTCCCTCTGTGTCCAAATTTCTCCTTTTGGTAAGGATCCCGGTCATATTGACTTAGGGCCCACGCTGATGGTCTCATTTTAACTTGATTACCTCCGTAAAGACCCTATTTCCAAATAAGGTCACATTCTGGAAGCACTGGGGGTTAGGGATTCAACATCTCTCTTTCGGGGGGGAGGGGCACACACACAAAACAAAACCCATCCCCACACAGAGATGGTTAGGGCTATACAGATAAATATTAACCAACATATTTTTTCTCTCTCTAAATGAATTCAATTGTTACATTTAATTAGACTCCACTTGCAATGTACTTTTGTGCTTGCATAGCTGAAGTTGTCTTGTGTGGCTTTGACATGAATCAGTGACTAGACATCGTGATGCTGGCTTTAAGTATTCAAAGCAATTTTTAAAAAATTGCCTCAGGTTTCCTCTGATGTAGGTCTCTTAAAGTAGGGCTTGCCTGAAACCTAGGAAACCAATTTGAGATATAGATTTGGATTTTTTTAAAGATGTATAAAACATTTTTTTTCTAATTGCATATTTGATTATTGAAGCTGTTCCTATCATTCTGGTTTCTTCCCCAGGATATCCTTTCCTTACCAAAATAGCATCGTGCTTGGCAATAGGAGATATCCAAATGTTTGTCATATAAATTAATGAATACATAAATTATTTCGAATGGGCTGATTGGTGGGATAACTAACAGGAAGCTGGACATACGGTTCTGAAATATTAGAAATAATGGCCAATGTAGATTTGTAATTTTTCTGTATTGGGGTGACAGGGGGAACTATAGGAGTGGGTGAGATCCTCTGGAATGAGAGTATATATTGGAGATGGGAGGTGGCAGAAGACACACCTAACTTTGGGAAGCAGCTTAGGCTGAGGAGCTACCTAAGGATGGAAGAAGGACACGAAGAGAATAAGGCAAATTCCCATTGGCTTAATGTGTTTATTGGCTTTCTCCCTCCCTTCGCCATCAGGGTTACGGAGATGTACTTCCAACTGAAAGAAATGAATGAAAAGGTGTCTTTTATAAAGGACTCCTTACTGTCTTTGGACAGCCAGGTGGGGCACCTGCAGGACCTCTCTGCCCTGACAGTGGACACCCTCAATGTCCTTTCTGCGGTTGACACGTTACAAGAGGATGAGGCTCTCCTGGCCAACAGAAAGCTTCCTACTTGCAGAAAGCTTCCCCACAGCTGGAGCAATGTCATCTGTGCAGAGGTTCTGGGCAGCATGGAGGCGTCTGGGGAGAAGAAATACCAGTATTACAGCGTGCCTCCTTCTTTGCTGCGGAGCCTGGCCAGAGGCCAGCATCCCCCAAGAGTGCAGAGGGGACCCCTTGTTGAGACTGCAGTCCGTCACAGAGAGACTTCAAATCTAAGAAATGACCAGGAAGAGCAAGAAACGGGAAATAGTATAGTTGCTTCTTGCCTTGACGGGCAAGCCCACCCAAAGTATGGCCACTTTCTTCTGGTCCCTTCTCATCGAAAGCACGTTCCTTTTTCTGCAGAAACGGACTTGCCTCTGTCCAGATCACCTGTGGAAGTGGGTACAGGTGCGCTGGCACCTGAACAGGTTGCCCGGAATGGAGTCCCTGTTCATCTGACTTGGCAGACCCCAGTTGTCTCGGCCCAGAGCTTGGTGGCTGAACACAAGGAGCAGACGCATGAGCCAGTCGTTCCCATACCAGCCCGACAAGGCAGGGGAGAGAAAGTTCTAACCTCTTTGATTTGCACACCTGCACCCGTGAAAATGACCTTCCCTTCCCGGGCTGAGAGCGTGCAAGCTGGAGGTGGATATGTGAACTGGGCATTTTCGGAAGGTGATGAAACCGGTGTGTTCAGCAGCAATACACAACGGCAAACCTGGTTGGCCTCCACTTGTAACAGGAACGCTAAGGAGAGTGGACAATGCCGGAGGCAGGTCTGGGGCCGATCCCTCCCTAACACCCCAACAGGTTGGGCCCAGCACAGTGATTGCTCAGAGGTGGGGCCAAGACTCCAGCCAAGCACTTCCCTTTGGACCAATCCCCTCCGCAGAGACAGGCCCCTCTTTCGGAGTCAGAGTTTGAGAATACACAAGGAGGAGAAACGGAAGGCCTGTAAGGTTACAAGTAAGATGTAAACACTTAAAAAAAAAAGTGTCAATTCTTGGCATTGCTACTATTTTAAAAAAGTTTATAACTTCTGGCTGCATTCTCATTCTCTCCATTCTCTGATCCTTGCAGTAAAACAAAATAGTTCCCCTACCATCTTAAACCCTGTCGTGTAAACCGTTTCCCTCACAGATTGTTCAGGATCTTCAGAGATGGGACAGTCAGCATGGATCAAAGCAAAAATGCTAACCAAGGATAGGAGGTCGTCAAAGAAAAAGAAGAAAACACAGGGACTCCAGGTGCCCGTAAGTGCCTTGTATGGTTTTGGCAATTGAGACAGCAGCCAACCTTAACTTGTTTTCTCTTTCGTCTAAAGCAGCAGTTCTCAACCTTCCTAATGCCGCGACCCTTTAATACAGTTCCTCATGTTGTGGTGACCCCCAATTTCATTGCTGCAGATTGAACATAATTAAAGTATAGTGATTAATCACAAAAACAATATGTAATTATGTATGTGTTTTCTGAGGGTCTTAGGCGACCCCTGTGAAAGGGTCGTTCGACCCCCAAAGGGGTCGCGACCCACAGGTTGAGAACCACTGGTCTAAAGCGTCATACACACAAAATAACTCCGTGAAGATATAAATGTAAGAGTCATTAGAGTGGGTGTGCCACAGTTCATTAGCTCACATGTTGAAGGACATTCGTCTCATGTTTAGTTTTTGGCTGTTCCATACCAAGCTGTGGGGAACATTTGCACACAAATCTTTGTGAGGATATATGACTCACTTTCTCTCCGGTAAACGTTTAGGAGTGGAATGTCAGAGTCATATGGTAAGCAGTTGCTGTAGAAGATACTCCCAAACTGCTTTCTAAAGTGGTTGCATCATTTTACATCCCCACCCATCTGAGTAATGCTTTAAGAGCATCCCTGCAATCCACATCCTCACCAGTCCTTAGGGTGCTCAGTCCTTTCAATTTTAGCTTTATCTGTGGGTGTGTATCTAATGGTGGTTTTCATCTGCATCCCATAGTGATGTAGCGCTAGGTATCTTTTCATGGGCTTATTGGCCACCCATATATTATTTTGGTGACATGCTTGTTCAAATCTTTTGTCCATTTAAAAAGTTGGGTTGTTAGTAAGTTGTAAGATTTACTTTGTATCTTTCAAGGAATCTGTCCATTTCACCTAAGTTGTTGAATTTATTGGCATAAAGTGTTTATAATATTATTATCCTTTACTGTCGATGGGATCTGTAGTGATATCACTTGTCTCATTCCTGATATTTTAAATTTGAGTTTTCTTTTTTTGTCTCATGATCAGTTTGGATACAGTTTATGTTTTATTGATCTTTTTAAAGAACCAATTCTTAATTTCACTGATTTTTCTGTGGGTTCTAGTTCATTGATTTCTGCTCTTTATTATTTCCTCTGTTCTGTTTACGCTGGGTTTAATTTGCTCTTTTTCTGTAGTTTATTAAGGGAGAAACTTTGGTTATTGATTTGAGACTTTCTTCTTTTCTAATATAGGCAGTTAGTACTATAAAATTCCGTACAATAGTGTTTTAGCTATCCTACAAATTCTTTATTTTCATTTAGTGAATCTTTCTATTTATTGTTTGGAAGCCTTAGATCTGAGTTAGCTATTCTATAGGACTTCACCTTTCATGGTTTTAATGTATGGGCACCATACATAGTTTTTAAAATATTATTGACTATATTCCTTATATAGTGTACTTTATATCTCTGTGATTTTGATGCATTTTTTAAAATCTTCACCTTAGGATATTTTTTTCATTGATTTTTAGGGAGAGTGGAAGAGAGAGAGAAAGACAGAGAGAAATATTGATGTGAGAGAAGCACATCGATTGGTTGCCTCCTGCATGATCTCCGACCAGGGCCCAGCTGGGAGGAACCTGAAACTGAGGTACCTGCCCTTGACCAGAATAGAACCTGGGACCCTTCAATCTGCAGGCCGATGCACTAGCCACTGAGCCAAACCAGCTAGGGCTTGATGCATTTTTTAAAGCACTTCTGTTCTTTTGGGAATGAGGATCAGAAGCAAAGATATAAATATTGAGAAAATGATGTGAAATTACTTTTTTGGGGGGGGAGGGGATTGAATTGCTAAAAAGACTCTGGGAAAATGCCACGAGTTGCTGACATCCCATGACATAAAAATTTAAGTAGGTTTATTTTTTGAAATAGTTAAAAATGGCCAGATTTCAACTAGGAATTGTAACTGAGTTCAAGTACTAATAACATGCATTTGCTTATTGCTTTGTAGTTTATCTGTTTTCTCCATTTCTTCTCTGCCTTTGGGAAATACATAGAGCACCATTATTATTGGCTACATATTATTTTAATGGTAAAGGGGATGGGGCTCATAGACATTAAGTAATTTGCCCAAGTTAATGTAGTTTCTCCTTGTTTGTTTGTTGATTTTTCCTCTGTCCCAGTGGGTCTCAAATTGTGGTCTCCTAGCAGCATGGGAACTTACTAGAGATTCACATTTTCCCTCCCAGGGGGCGGGACCCAGTCATCTGTGGCTTAACACAGTCCTGGGCGATTCTGATGCACACTTACATTTGAGAAGCCCTGCTTCCCACCCTGGTTCTCATTCCTGACTGCAATTAGGAGAGTTACCTGACGCTGGTGGACTGTCAGCATGAGTGATGGGAGCGCAGAGCTTCCTGGTTATTCTAATGTGCAGCCAACGTTAACAACCGGGCGCTTCACCACGGTCCCTCTATTAATGTGACTCACTGTTTTCAGATTAACATCACTGTGTTCCAATGAGTATCTTTCTCTCCAGGTCATAACAATCGATGCCTGTTTTCAAGGTGACCAATCAAATGCAGAGCCAGGAGAAAGGAACATCTCCAAAGAAGAGGAGTGCGACAGGAACCGGCTGGCAGTGTCCAAGTGTAGTCAGTCAAGTATGTAACAGTCTGCACTCTTGGATCCCCAAACCTCTGGTAGAGTCCCCTCAAGTTATGATCTATAGGCCCCGGTGGCCCCTGATGTTCTTTTAAGTGGAGATGAGGGAATGAAAGGGTGGTAACGCCCTTTTTGGGAAAATAGCTCTTTTCTGTTTTTAATTTTTATGAAAGGAACAATATTTCTATGTGTTTAATGAATCTAGAAAAGAAAAATTAGGATTTAGAAAGTTGTTTTATTCAGTGTTCATTTAGTCTGATTTGTGGGGGGAGGTTGTCTAATTTTATAGTCTTAAGGCTCATGTGACATTGATTCGGACACTTACACAGAGCTCAGTGGATTGAGTTGTACTTGGTTATTTACAACTTCCCACAAATAATGTTCATTCCGTGGGCATGTATCCCTTAAGTTCAATAAGCAGAGTGTGTGTGAGGATAAAATACGGGTCAGCCAGCTAGGAATGAAGACTATGATCCAGGCATAGAGTGTGAAATAAACCTAGATAGGTAAGATAAGGACAGACTATGAACAGAATTGAGAGCAGTGATTAGAACTTTGAACTTCTTGCATTAGATAACAGGAGAATTTACTAATTTTTAAATAGAAGGGACTATGTGAATAAGAACTCATGAAGATTTAAAATTATTTGAAATATCAAATTTAAGGTACAAATGGACATTGTATTGAAATCTATGTTATGCTTCTTTAAAGCTTCTTTTTTTAAAAAATATATTTTATTGATTTTTTACAGAGAGGAAGGGAGAGAGATAGAGAGTTAGAAACATTGATGAGAGAGAAACATCGATCAGCTGCCTCCTGCAC